TTCGTTTGTGATCGTTTCTCTATACGTTCGAAGCCTGTTAATTCATGGATTCGTTATTACAGAGTCTGTTCTCTGCCTAGTAATTGCAATATTTCGGTATTTATTTATTAACTATTATTAATGTACTGCGAATATACACCACGCTTGCTCATCACGGCTAGCTCATAAAAATTCCATCGCTTTCTTCCAGTGATAAAATTCAAATACTGCGAGAGAGAGAGAGAGAGGGAGGGAGGAAGGGAGAGATACACGAGATGTCGAGAAACGAGTAATAGTACAATCGTGTCTCTACTTTTTCCTACCTGTCGATCAGCGTTGTCCATGCGCATTTTATTCGCATGTTTACCATGCAACCGGTAATTACGGCAAATCCTCATGTCCGCGATATTTCAAGGAAATTAACTTTACATCTCCGCCGCAGTAACTTCTTTTCCGTGCTCGGAGAAGTACCGGTTTCTTCAAAGCTGAGCGCATCGATGAGACCTTCGATAAAGAATCGATGCGCTTGAAATCTCCATCTCCCACAAGCAGAAATAATCGAATAAAATTACGCATATCTCGTTTTAGTTCCTGAAATAATCAAGCTGTACAAATGACTAATTTAAAAGTAACTCTGTGGATAAATATTACCTTGAGAAAGTAAACTTAATAATAAGAGTGGCGCTACCAGGGGAACGACGTTTGAGAAGGCGGTGGGAAAAGGAATGTAAATTTCGCTCGCAGTATTCGAATCAGCAATGAGGAGAAAAAAGTTTCGTTGAGGGAGAAAATTCGTGGCAGGTGGATGCCCGATTTTGGACCACCATGTAGTAGTCGAGTCGCAGGCGGGGGTCTTATAATATCGCGTCATACGAAACGATGAAATAGTGGCCGTAGCGAAGGAATGTTCCCTACCACTCGAGTCGTCGAGTTGAGTTGACTGGCGTTGCGTGGTTCTCCCGGCTCGACCGCTTTCAACCGGCGTGTCTGTTCCTCGCCAGTGTTTCTCTGCGCGTGTACAGGGTGTTTGGCAATTGCCGGAAAAAAGTCTTCGTCATAAAATCGCTCGATTCTCAAGAGCGATCTTCTTTTTCTCCATGAGAGAGAAGGCAAAAATTATTTTCGATCGATATGCAAATCGACGAATCCGATTGGTGCCGGTCATTTTCGGAAATTGCAGAAATTCGATTTCTTAACCGCGCGGGTCCTGACGCGCGGAAAGCCCGTTGAAATGATATCTTAGCACTACGATACTTACATCGGTAACGATGTTCAATTAATTAAGTTAACCGGATGAAAATTCATGTAAATCGTGTCGTCGTCGTATCAATGCGTTCGAAACGTATAATTAACTCCGATTTGCAACGAAATACGTGTGTAGACACGACTTTCACGGAGTGTTAATCGGAATTGAACGCAAGTTAGCAGAGGCGCTCGTGCCGCGATTGCAACGATAATCGCTCCTGTACGAGTGAATCGCGTGCACGAGCGGAGAAACAAAGAGAAAAGAGAGAGAGAGAGAGAGAGAGAAGAAAAACGCAAGGGAAGACAAGAGGACCGCTCACAAGCATCGTCTCTACGATTTATCCTCTCGACGTAAAAAAAGGATAAAATGGAAAAACGAAGCGAAGAAGCGAAAACGCATTCACGCGCGTGCATACACACACGCATCCTCTCGTCGTTGTTGCGGGCGCAGGAAGAAAACGCGTGCGAGGCAGGCAGGCAAGCAGACAGGAACACCCGTAGTCTCGAGAGAGAAAGAAAGAGATTCAAAAGGTGCTCGACGGAGCAGGCGTGGGCTACTCGTGATCATCATGACAAAAGCTCGAGGCAAACATCCGTTCAATTTATTAGCTTATAGGCATGCCGTCGCACTACCTACTATACACCACCTACGACACCGCCGTGGGGGGACCGCCTATAATGCCCGCAACATTATGGGCATGCTCCCAAGCTAGAGGGCCCCTTCCCCCTCCCACCCGTAAACTCGGTAAGCCCGCACTACCCTCACGACGCGAATCTCTCTTTTTTCTCCTCCTCATAGAGTCCCAGTTTTTACGGTCGCCCGCGATATTTTCTCGCCGGACCGCGTTCAAGTATTAACCCCTTGATGATACTATATGCCCAGATGACGGACGCATTTCATACCCCTTGTGTGTTACCAGACATTTTGTATATTTCTACAATTCTTGCAACATAGAAATCGATATTTGATCAAATATAATAATTTTTCTGCGGAATCGTCGGAAATTTCGTTTGATCAACGACTGTCGAGAAAATCGATCGGTGGGCAATGCGTCCCAAGTTCAAAATGTGAATAAGTTGTGTAATGTTGGAAAACTCGCTGTTGGCACGAGAAATGAAAGAAAGGATTAATCACGGTCTTTCGAATAACACTCTGTCCTTTCGTTAGCATTGTCGTAAGTTCCGAGTCGTTATTGTCACCGCGAAAATCAATATATCTTGGATTTAGTGATCCTCGCGCCTTGATGCATGCCTGGGCGCACGTGAAACCCACCCAATTGCTTCCAATTAAGGAATAAAAGAGATATTTCACACGGGCTAACATTTATCGGGCGTTTGCAACGGCACGCCATTGGGGAAGATAGCGGAATATTAAGTTTCGCGCATTTATCGCCAATCTCGCGATAAAGATGAAAATCGCGCCGTAAATTCGCGCATTTATTCCCCATGGTTTCGAGTTCCCACGTTAATAAGCAGGAAGACACGTTGGGGAGAAGATGCGGAATTGACGCGAACCTATTATTCACGAATTAAGCCGCTATCCAGAGTTTGTTATTGCGATGTTGTGACGATAATTCCGACCCTACAAAAAGAATTCACGCACAATTGCACAAAAGTTCATCCTATTTTTCAATCAATCAGAATATCCACGAGCATTACGCAGCTACCGAAAAGATGTACAAAACGGCTTAAAATTGATTTGATCGAAAATAAATAAATGTACATCTTGATTAAAGGACGGGACGAACCTTTGGCATCAGTATTTCTAATCGTCGCTAAAAAAATGAGAATATAATTCCTTTGGCGGGAACATCGAATATTTCGCGTCGTTCTCCTTAGCATGAAATAATAATTAAAGCGACGTCAAGAACTGTTCGTTTTTCGAATACGAGAAAGCTGCCAATTAACATCTCTTTCCCTGGCAAAGTTCCTGATTTCTACCGGCGAACGCCGTTACTCCGCCTCCTTCCCATGAACTTCAACTTTTCATTATCGTGCGACGACTCGCGCGATGCCTCTTTATCGGGAAAGGAGATGGTGTTTTATCGCCGAGTCGCGTACTCTCAAATTTTCCTCTCTACGTCGCGGCTTATCGGTGTGGCGACTTGGCGCATAAATGTTCGAAATTATAGCCGATCAGCCGTATCGGCGCTTTCACGCGGAATTTTCGTCCCCCTTAATGCTTTTCCCGCAAATGATTTATGGTAGGTAGATGGATCTTGAAAAAAGACGCTGTATTACGCCGTTTTGTCGAAAATTGAAATCAAGTCCCCGAGTTAAGTTACTCGAAATTAAGGGATTTCGGCACAGAAACGCAGATTGGCTTGATCGAGGAGGAATATCACGGCAGCTTCGACGACCACAACTCGCGTCGATAACCCACGCTCGTAGCCTGATGGTGATATCTCGGCGCATTCGTTTTACGAGGCCATTTTCGGCGCGCACGACCGCCTCGTCAACGCGATTCCTCGACGTGAGAAAGAATTGATACGAGGGCGTGAAAAACGATACTGCGAACGTCGTCATTGGCGTTTGTTAAACCGACCGGCGCGTCGCCGAATTTAAGAAGGTGACAGTCGTGTCACCGCCCTCGAAAGCGAAACTATCTCGGCGATTTTCATCGAGATTGAATCGCGAAAGGAAATACGTCGCGCATACGTCCTTAAAATACAGTCGCGCAAGAGCGATCGAAAGGAAAAATAGCAATAGCATGTTCGTTTCGCGGCCATTGTGCGCGCTAAACTCCGAAATGAAGGGGAGATACGTATCCGCTGAAAGGCAGGCGCAAATTACAGAACTGGCGTAATGACCGCATGAAGCGTCTTATCACCGACAATTTGTGCGGGACGAGGAAAATCTCGCGTGGCTTTTAAGTTATCCTTCGGGATGGAAATTATACCGTTGGTTTATACGCCGCGGGAATAGATTTTCGAAAAACCCGCCAATGTCTTTTAATTTTTCTTGTGTGAAGCGTTTTATTGAATCAACGAGATGATCCAGAGAAACATTTCTGGAAAAAATTCATCGCTCTAGACGGATATTAGTTAGTTTTTATTGTTTAGTACTGTTAAACAACCGAGTAAGAAAGTCATGTTCAAACGAAACCAGTTAAAATCTAGCCGAAAGATAGTTTATTAAATAGATTAGTAATTGATAGTGTCTATAATCTCATGTCTCAATTGTGTAGTAAGATCAGTTAGATACAAATTATCTAGGAATTGGTTAAAAACTGTTTGATAATTATCTAAAAACTGGCTAGTTTTCATGTTTGCAAGGAAGAGAAAATTACGTTGATGTAACTGAATTTTCTGTCGCTAGACGAAAACTTGGTTGTAGGAACAAAAAGATTCCTAAACATTTCACTTGCTTTTTAGTTGTCGTTCAGTTTTTTAATAGAGTTAACACAAATATTCTCAGTCGCGGTAAAACAGAGATACACATTTCTTGTCAACGAACTTTCATTTGCTTCCTATTCGGTTGCAGGGCCTGAATTATTTTTTTCGCGTAGTTACTGTCGAAATAAGCGATCAATCTGAATAAATTTAGGCCAATGCTGGACAAATATTCGAGAGTAATCAAAATTCCTAGCCATTTATTAATTGTGTTTTGTCTTCTTTTCTGCTAGGGGATGAATCAATAACGATTCGTAATTGCGATCATTTCCTCATATTCTTCTCAGAAAAAATATTATGATCGAATATATCCTATCCTCAGAAACACACATATCTACGTGCCGTAGAACAACTATCGGCGCAGCGCAATCAAATTTATCTTACCTGACCGTGCTTGTCCATGTCGTTGTTCGTCAGTTTCACCTTCTCGAAGGAAACGATCTGTTTTCTCAACTGCTCGCCAGTAAATGGAGAGTCCGGATGCGTGTAAAGTCGTGCGGGCGCCGGCGGGTCCGCTTTGCCGGCCACCAACCAGCAACTACGATGATAGGCATATCGGTATCTCTTGTTGTCGAGCGGCACGATGTCCATTAGCACCGAATAATGGCCCTCGGTCTTGAGCCCGCTAAAGGACACCCGGCAGGTTGGGAACATTCGTCTGCGCACGCATAAAGGAAATTTTAGCGATAATAAATTGTGAAAGATCGCAGTGCAAATGTAAGCACGACAATAAATGAATATAAGTACGACCGATTAATTCGCAAGGAAAGAACAGTGGTGTCGCTAGAACAATATTCTCCTCCGATTTTAACGAGCTTTCAGTATGTTGGAATTTCAACCAAAATTAAGGGAAGACATTTCTTTTATAAACATGCAGGTTTAGCGAGTGAAACAAATTGGTTCAAAAGTGGCACACCGTATCGGATGATTTTTAATGAATTTGCAGCAATAAGTTACGAGAAATCTTCGTATTTTAAGCATTTCTTTTGCATCGTCACTTATTAATTACCAATTTACTCCACAAATATTCACGTTATTTGTACGTTTACATTTCTCCCTTTAATGTATATAACGTTAGAGGAGAATCCCTATATCTTGACTGTGGTCAGTACGAATTGAATTTTGTAAGTTTCTGTGGAGAACCGTAGGAAGCATCAGACAAAACACCAAAATCTTAGCATTGCACAACATACTACTATGTGTTTCCTTGTCAGTAAATTTTGTTTACAAATTGTACTTCTTCCGCAAAAGGATAGAATATCCCTCAATTAAGCTGAAATTTCAGTAAAATTTAGATCCGAGGAGATCATCAACCAATGGGATCGAATTAAAACGATCTGACCTATATTCAGAATGGTTAATTTTATGATCATCCGTCAAATCCGTCAAATAGTCCGTTTCACAGAGAGAGATTGCAAATACGAAAATGACAAGTGAGAGGCTTGGCTTTTATTGTAACGCTTTTAACCTCTTCTAATAATTCGTAATATGGCATAATCAAGGTAAACTTTGTCTTTTTGCCGAGTACTTCGTCATATTTTTTAAGCTTTGTCCGCCGCACTTTATTAGGTTAGTCAAAATGTTTGAATCGACTTTTAAGTCATATTTACTGCATTCAATGGAAGTAAATTATTCATAAATGGAATACTTGTTTTCGTTATCTGTGCTTCTTTACCAATGATCTGAGTATTATACGTTACCTGTATTATACGTCGACTGATTCAATACGAGATACGTTATCGCAATTTTATATTCGCCTAGATCGAGATCGCAAGGATTTTCTGATGTCTTCAACACCTCGACAAGCGTGTGCGAGACGCGACTTCGAATCGATGTTGATGTCGATGCCGTTGGATTTCCCGTTTCACCGCAACACGTAAAGCAACCTGACCTTCGTCCTGCATTTGTTCCCGAGCAAAAGCTTTCACCCAGCCGCAATGTACGTCCTCGTGCGATCGCACGCGATGGGCTCTCGTGATTTACACAGCTCGTCGGGAAAGAATGCTATTTTTGCGGCCAGATCGCGATGCCAATTTTTTCTCTTACTCTTGTGGTGAAAATACGGCAGCGGATAGATCGAGGATTGTTTTGAAACGCCGTATTTCTTTTCACGCAATATTATCGCGAATATCACCGATTCAATTGCTTCAATCATTGCTTGGAATGCACACTGAGAGAAATTATATTCATTTTCGATCATGTTTAAGAAAAATCCAACGGATTTCATTTTGTGGATGAAACCACTCTACAATATTGACATTGATTTGAAAAATGATTCTTCCGACTATGATTCTTTCTTTCACTTATGCAATTATAATTACAAATTACCCAAGAGAAATCCCGTTAAGATCATAATAATTTTCAGCTTTTACCTTAATCCAAACAATAGTAGTAAGCAATGTGCATGCGAGTTTTATGACTGACACTATAATAATGTTTGCTAGAAAACCAGTCCTCCAGATTATAAATTTTTCGCTCGAGTGATTGCAAATACTGTTTTCCAATGCAATAGATACAATCAAGAAAAGAATCGAAGATGACGAACCCTCGACACACCTGTCGAGCGCAGTTAAGCGTCTGCCCGGGACTGTGCAATCCTCGATTGAAGGCACCCTATCAACATCGGCACAATCACCGTCGCGAGAAATTCTACGACATTAGTAGCGAGGTTACGCCGGTAGAGAAAAAGTTCTCGCCGAGACAGTTGATCTCGATGTCGGAACTGAAATCTCCGCGACAAGATCTACGTTCCTTCAGACCCGGCAGCTCAAAAAATGGCGAACCGATATCCAGGACATCGTCCTTCGCCAGGATCGCTCTGGTCAAGGTCACCTCCGTCCCGAGAACTGATGTCATCCTCGTGTCGCAGGGAACGTTGAAGATGTCATCGAGGGAAAGAATCGCGAAGGTCGAAGGCGAGCCAGTTGCGAGAAAAATTGAATCGCCTTCTCTCGCGGCGGGAGCCACGCCTTGTCGAATATGGGAAATTCTCTCGCCGGTCGGTCGAGTGTTGAAGGCTCTGATTGACGCGAAGAACGCGAAAAAATGGATAAACGGGCTGAAACCGTCGACTCTCGTCTCATGCCTGACAATCGTGACAATCTACGCGGGCATGCACGTATTCGCGTGGCGAACATCTGCGCATCACTTTTTCGTGTCCAGCCAAATCTGCGGTATCCTCGTACTGCTCATGTGGAGGATAACCGGTACGATATTAATCTGAACCGCGCTAATATGTCGAGATAAAATACATCGAAATTGATTAACATACGTTATTACACTAATCCGTCGTAATTACATACGCGGCGAATAATTTTCGGTTATGGCGGAAATCGCGAGGATCGAGTAGTCGCTATGACTGTTCTTGTTTGATGACGCGCATTCCGAGATTTTTGACGTTGTATTTTCAAATAAAAAGATATACCCACAAAATGACATTTTTTCGACGAAATCTGTGCGTTGCCTTTTATTCTCGTCCCGATCTTCGCTCCGCACGAGCGCATCCTTTTCTCTACAGCAGGACCGCAAAGGTAATCGTCGCGGTTTTCTAGATCTATTTATCCGATGACAGACTGCATCCTCCCGCGGCGCGGCTCGAGGCCGCAGAACTTGCTCATGAAGAGCGAAACGAGATCGTTCAATGCAGATAGACAGGCTTGTTGTGCACGCGAGAGTGTGCCTCATCGTTTCCTCGCGAGGCCCCGACAAATATTGAAGAACGGGCTCCCCGCTCATGAAGAGGACGAACCAAATCCCCGCGTCACGAAGCGGTTTTGCGGTTACGAAACGAATCCCTTGTTCCTTCCGTTCCTCATCGTCCCTCCTACTGGCGGCACGTACGGTTCGTGCGGTTTTTAACAAGCGCATTGTCCAACAGCGATGAATAGTATTGTCGTTACGTCATCTTGCTCCGACACACCTTAACGACACACAATTGTCAGCCCTCGAGCGAAACATTTAAGCGACTGGAAGTTCGCTCGCGCTGTCAGAGAGAGAGAGAGAGCTCTTTATTGGCGTAGACAACACCGAAAGACGCGAAAAATCCGTTTTTCCACATTCGATTCCTGCAGCGGGAACGAACTTGCGTTCGTGATTACACGCTCGACTTTTTTCTCACTTATGTTACGCATTTCAGAGATAAATGATACATGAAGAGTGATTCCACTAATATTCGTTCTTCGCTATATCTTTTTTCTACTTTCGATCTAAGAAATCTATTGTGCATATTGAGAGCACCAAAACCATCGTCATCTCCGCTGTATATCTATTTCTCATTCTTATATTCTGATCAACATTTTATACACATTTTATAAGTTACAATCTTATTTATAAGTATATTTTTTATATTCCACTCGTGAATGATCCCACCCCTATGGGCAAAAATACAAGGGTTTCCGTTAAATATATTTCTGATTTGTTTATAGTAGTTTTTATTTGTACGGTTTGTTTGTCTTAAACATAATACTTGAAAGTTTCCCTCAAGTGTATATAATATTTTTCCGACGACTAAAGTTAGCCATGCTCTTCGATTTTATGATTCATTTCGTACGAAAGCGCGAGACGTCAGTTCCGAGAAACACCGCGCTTACGCAACCGTCGCAATTGCCCTGAGTTGACACCCCATAAAATGATCAGGATCGTTGCACCTCCTTGGCACCCCGAGGCAGCTGCAGCTCCTCGTTTATCGCCCGAAGCCGGCCTTGACAGTTTCCTCGGAAAGGAGCTCTCGACTTTCACCTGCTACGTTTACGCTAAGAATAAATTTGTTGCTCGCAATTTTTATACACGGGCGCCGCAAATAACGTCACATTCGCCTTCGTAAACATTAGGCGACGCGATAAATCATCCGGAAAATTGCCACGAGGGTGGCAGATCTGTCACCCTTCTCTAGGATGAGCGCGCGTCGACTATTTAAGTATCGATGGTGAGGCGATCAACCCTCGAAAGAGGAAAAGAGAGGGAAGGGGAGAAAGACCCACCCTCGTCGTGATTCCTATCGCACGTTACACTTGTATCCCCTGAATCCTGTGCTCAATGACTCATGTTTTTACGACGATCGCGACAGCAAATGAGTCAATTCTTTCGCATCACGCAATTGCCAGTAATATCGGCGAAACATCCGTTCCGCTTCGCAAAACGACGTCACATCAACCGAGTCCTGAATTAAAAATCGCCGATAAGTTTTCATCCGTCTGAAGATTAATCCGATAGGACCCGTCAATGACTCTACAATCGCGACTTTCCTTCGGTCTGGTAGAAGTATACTTATTTCTCGGAGTTCTTTAATTTTCGGCCAATTATAACTTACTCACTCGTCGATTCTTTCCAGAAAGAGGAGGGAATTATCATTTGACCGATCAGTTTTTCATTAGTATCCGAACGCAAATGTCCTTTAATTCCCGCCGCGACTAATTCACTTCTAATTCCAACGCTCGCGACCGACATTACGGCGCACGTTCAAATTAGGCGGAAACAAACAAGCCCTCGATAGCTAACGAGGCCGTAATCGCAGAAACACCTCGAGCAACCCCGAAACCACTCGTATATGTTTCTCCCTTCGCAACAGTGACGGCGCGACTAAAAGAGAGAGGGGGCTCACAGAAGGGCCTGAGGAAAGGAGTTGGTACAAATGAATTGCGGAAGCGCGCTGGATATTAT